TCATTTAATCATTTAATCATTTAATCATTTAATCATTTAATCATTTAATCATTTAATCATTTAATCATTTAATCATTCGAATCTACATCATGAATTATCTTTCAAAAATATTATTTAATATTAATATTCATGAATCAAAGGTTACATCATCTTTTGTAACTATTTATTTATTGATTTATTCCTTCTCATTAGTTATCAATGAATTAAAATTGAAAATTTAATTAAATAATTTTACAAAAATAAATGCTTATTTTAATTATCATTAAATAAAATATAAAATAAAAAATAAAAAAAAAAAAGATATTGAAAATAAAAAAATGTGAAAAAGTGACAGTCAGAATCACGGGACCGCAATTAATGCAAATAACGTGTCAGGATCAGGACAACGATCGATCACATAAATATAAATACGTATTATAATAAATAAACAATCAAAATCATGGGATCGCAGGATCGGGATCAACGATCAGTAAATATAAACAAAATAAAAAGACGACTTTATTTATAATTCTTCCTCTTCTCTTCTCTCTTAAACCTTTGATAAATTTAAAACCCTTATACAAAAGTTATTTTAGTTATTTTAGCTTGGAAAAATGCCGTTGGATAGATACAATCGTCGCTTTACTCGTTCCGTTTCACCACAAACTTCAGCTGTTTTACCTTATTACCGTCGCCGCTCTTCTTCTGTTACTTCTGGTGCTGCTTCTCCCGCTTCTTCTACTACTGCTTCTTCCGCCTCTAATACTGTTTCTTTTGTTCCTTCTGTTACTACTACTTATAATTGTTCTTATTATTATGACCCTTCTTGTTCTTATGCTATTCCTGATTTTGTTAACTCTCCTTATTTTACTCCTTCTGCTTATGTTTCTCCTGCTTCTTCCGTTGCTTTGCCTATTGCTATTATTTCGCCTACTAATGTTTCTCCTGCTTCTTCTACTGCCGCTTCTTACACTTCTTCTACTGCTACTTCTTCTGCTTCTTCTATTACTACTATTTTACCTACTTATGTTTCGCCTGTTTCTTCTACTGCCGCTTCTTATACTTCTTCTACTGCTGCTTCTTCCACTTCTTCTGATACTACTACTTCTTTTTCTTCTTCTTTAACTCCTTCTTATGCTTCTGTTTTTACTAATACTTCTTCTGCTCCTACGTTTTTTGCCACTAACTATTCTAATTCTGCTAATTCTACTACTACTACTATTTCTCCTGCTTCTTTTACTGCTTTATTGACTGCTGCTTCTTCTGCTTCTTCCAATACTACTACTTCTTCTTCTTTAATTCCTTCTCATGCTTCCGTTTCTATTAATACTTCTTCTGCTTCTTCGAATACTACTTCTTCTTCTTCTTTAATTCCTTCTTATGCTTCCGTTTCTGTTAATACTTCTTCTGCTCCTACGTTTTTTGCCACTAACTATTCTAGCTCTGTTAATTCTTCTTCTTCTACTACTACTACTACTAACTCTACTGTCCCTTCTATATTTTTTGCTACTGATCATTTAAATACTTCTTTTACACAAGCTAGTCCCATGAGTTCCAGAGAAAGTAGTGTGGCTCCTGGTAACAGGTAATATTTGTTTTATAACTTAACTCATCAATAAGATTAATTGATTATTTTATATATTAAATTTAATAATTATTATTATTATATTGATATAGTGCATCACACTATGACTCCACCTCTGCCATACGAAGACATGATGCAAAGAAATCTGTCTTAACCTCTCCTGACATTGAACTCGATCCTCCTGTGGTTGTCAATAGAGCACGATTATCTGTAATTAGAAATCGTATGTATAAATATTTATTGTTTTTAATTAATTTAGAATAATAATTATTTAAATAATTATTTAAATAATTATTTATTAAAATTCTTTATTATAATAGAAAGAAAAATAAATAATCGATATACCCCTTACATTGGTTCAAGCTTGAATGAAAGGTACGAAATTTTATTAAAATTGAATTTATTTGATTATTTTTAAATGAATAATAATAATCAATTATGGTATACAAAAAAAAAGGGGTACACGAAATCATTTGGAAATGGCAGAGGATGTATGCAAACATTACATCCCAAAACCTGCAATGAGTCTTCATCTCTGGAACCGACCTCCAAGGGCAGACCGGGTTGCCCTTCGAAAGAACAACACTGGAATCAAATTTAGGGATGGGTTTATCAAGCATGCACGATCCCCTGCATCTCATAAACCCTGTTATAATAACCTATTCGAACAATATCAAATTGAACGATTAGGAAGAGATGACCAAAGATATGAAAAAGCGTATGTATATTATTATTATTATTATTATTATTGAAATATTTATTTTATAATTTATAATTTATTTATTTTTTAGTGAATGGGAGGCTATTGGAGCAGAAAAATCTGTTTTTTCCAACCCTAATTTGACTTCCAGTGAATATTTGGAATATTGCCGAAGCCGTTTAAACTTTGGAAACTCAAGAAATATCACCACTCCAAACTGAATGTTCTTGTAGAAGTAGAAACATGGATTTGCAGTATTCAAGTTTTTATATATCTGTTTTATTATAAAATTATAAAATCAAAAAAAAAATACTAACATTACTAATATAAATTTTGTTTTAAAAATGTATTAATTATCTATTAACAGTTTTCATAGTTTTCAGTTAAAGATTAATATTACCAGCTAAGTAAATTTCCATTATTTTCATTTCATGAGAATTTACTAATTTCCTTTCAAAATTTCTATTTTGTAGAATTTTAATGATGATACATGAAATTGATTATTATAAAGCAAATGATGAAATTATTATTATTTATATTTATATGATATATAATGATCTTTATTTGAGATCTTTATTCTGATTATAATATATAATGATCTTTGTTTAAGATCTTTATTCTGATGCTTTAAACCTTTTTGAAAAATTAATAAACATTAAAAATCAGGCGATACAGTTCTCAAGTTAATAAAAAAAGTAAACTCATCTTTACTTCCTTGAAGAATTAATTGAAATTCATTTAACATTTTGTCCTTGAAGAATTAATTGAAATTCATTTTACATTTTATTATTTTATAATGAAAATCAATGAAATCATATGTTCTAAACACTCTGTTATATCAATAAACTGTTGATGTCGAATCCATACTTGTCTTTAATAAAGAACACCATATCTTTCACAAATACTCTAAGTGCTTTATTATTCCCTTGAAATTGATTTTGAATATCCCCATGAACTTTAAACTGTTAATGATATTTTCCAAGGATCATAATCATATTTAAGAAATTCCTACTCTAGATGGTTCTTGAAAACATTTAAATTCTTGAGGTCATTGAAAGAATGCTCTTTGAGATTCTGAAGAATGTGATCATGAATGTCACCAAAGAATTGATGTTGGTAATTTTTCATCAAAATGGCAGTATAAGTAAAGTTGGAAATCATTTTGTCTTCGTTAGATTGGTTCCAGTGAATGTTCATCCTTAAGTATAAACGGAAGGAATTAATTATAAAAATTAAATTAGTTTATTAAAAAGAAGTTTTAGGTTCCGTTTATTCTGTATTAGCTTTTGGTGAAAGTTATTGGTTGGAGTTGATGGAAAGGTATTTATTCTCTCTTTTATTTGTCTTGGGATAATAATAATTAATAATAATTAAATAGTAATTAATAATAGTTATAAATATAGGTTTCAATGGTTTCAATATATGACTTTATAAGATTAGAAGATGATAAGCGTGATTTAATTCCAATATGTGAATACAATGTATTCGCATTAACCAACCAAATAGTGACCATTTTGGTAGGAGATATAATGAGATCAATAGTATAAAGAAACCGGTGGTGTGGTGGTGGAAAAACTTTAGAATTCGTTACTCAAGATTTAAATAATTGATGCATTAATGCTATCAAAGCATTAAATAATTTACTTTTCGAAGAAATGTTGATATTTCGGATATTTTGTTAAAAGAGAAATTGAGATTCTATTAGTTTGATTTAGATACATACGTAAATATTAATCTCTATTATTTTGTTTGTTTAATATTTATTTAATATTTATTTATTTTAAAATATTTATTTAAGTTCATTGACAGCAAATTTATCGGAACCAATAATAAAAATAGAATCGAGTACATCTTCCAAATTATAATCCCTATCATTCAAGAACGATTTGATAAATTACAAGATTCGTATCAAAATTTTATGGCGGTTTGGATATTTAATCGTAAGTGTTGTATTGTTATATATTGTTGCATATTATTTGCATTATTGATATTATTGTATATAAAATGATGGGATATTAAAATAAAGCAATGGAAAAGATACAGTAAACCTGAAGTGGCATTAAAATAATTTGATATTTTTGAAAAAATTCAGAGTTCTTAAATGAGTAAAATATTTTTGAATTATTATTATGCAACTTTCTTTTGAAATATATAATATTTTTAATTATAATTTATAAAACCAATTCCTTTATTAATTCCATCCGAATTTATGATTAGGAAAGGAAGGATTTGGATTATTCAGACGGATTTTGGAATCATATATTAATCATCAAAATTTCCAGGTCACTTGAATTTAACTTGTATCACTTTATAAATGAAACCCATCTCTTAGCCAGAGTTACTTAAGGCTCTTCCATTTACATTATTGGTTTCCTTTCATTTGTTGAAAAAGGACAAGCAAAGCATATGTAGCATTAAGAAGATGAATCCATGAATATGAGGGATTCGAAACAAAAACATCCAAACCACTAGCTATTTCTAGACCACTACAAAATAATAACTAATTTAATTTGTTCATGACAATATCTAAATGAATCTAATATTCGTGTTGAGTTAATTAATTAATTATTTAAAATTGAATTAATAAATTAATTAGAATAAATTATTAAAAAATATTAAATATATTAACTTGATGCTCATATAGTTTGATCCGACCCTAGAATAAGCTTGCGAACACTATCTTTGTTTTCTTTCTTTTACGTGCTAAAGTTATTACTTGTCAATCAAAGTTACAGAAGATATCTTCAGGGATTATCGTGATAATTATTATAATCATAATTATTTATTATTATTATATAATGCAGCAATATTTAAAATATATAAAAATATTTAATATATAAAATATCCTTAAACCTTTTAAATCCCTTATTCTTTCTGCTTCATTTTGTCGATTTTTATTATTAAGGCTTGATTATTTTAATTAAATTCATTGAATCTATAATTAATTAATTAATTAATTGTTGAATATATTGTATATCTCTCATATATACATATTGATGCCTTTATCCCAAATGTACTTTTTTTTTCCTTATCAGTAACTTTTTGCTGTATGGTAACAACTAATTCTGGTATCTTTTTTTCAATGATACCTTATCTTATCATTCTTATTCTCAAACTCATCATCGTTATTATAGTTGTTCAAATGATTCAAAAATTATGATAAATCTAAAATAATTATACTTAAAGCAAAACAAAATTATTTTTTATTTATTTTATTTTTCTGTTAATTTATTTTGCTTAGTTTCTTAATATTATCAAATTTTCAAAAAAAATAATTACATCCTTGTTGATATTACAAATACGTAGCATAATAAAATAAATTTCGATAAAATTTTTTAAAATATTTATGTGATAAATGTAAAAATAACTTTATTTAATAATATAATGATAAAAAAGTAAATAATTGGTTAAAAAAGATAAAATGCGAGCCTGAATTTGAAGGATCAACTAAAGATGAAATAAAATAATATAATTAAGAAATATAGAACAAAATCGTATAAAATGAAATCGTATTAATTACCTTGAGAAGCATATTTTTAAATCATATCAAAAAAATCGAATAAAATATTACCTTCAGGAACTAAATATAAAATGTACATTAATGTAAATTAGATTAAATTGGAAATTTTCATTTGAATTAATAATTTAAGTAATTTTACCTAGTTATCTTCTATGAAATGAAAAATTAATAAAAATATAAAATAAAATAATAAAAAATTAAAGACTAAAAACATATTACCTTCTGTGGCATTCTAGGTTGAATTGAAATAGTTTGTTTTTACTTATTCATTTCGTTATAATAACTGAATTAATTGAATTAATGATCTTATTTTATTCCAAATTTCATATGTACATATCAGATCCCAACATTGTTTCATTAAAGTTGCATATTCATATGGAATATATGTATTTGTAAATTTTTAGGTCGACATCCACCAACTATTGCAAAAGCTAAATTAGAATTAGAATTTAACTTATGGTAGTTTCACATATTATAGTACCTAAACTATACACATCTGATTTTGTTATATAATTTTTTCACATAAAAGTTCAGGTGCAAGTTCATGAAGTGATCGGTAAGCATGCCAATTAGTAAAGTAAATACGATTATGTATACGAGATTGAGTTACCAGAACTTAGCTTTATTGATGTGGTAAAAATACAAATAAAAATAAAATATAATATATATGATAAAAAAAATAGATAAATTGGAGTTTACAATTGTACTGTAGACATTGATGCATGATATAACGGATATATTTGTGATTCACATATTTCGTAAAAGCAAAAGGATTTCCACAAATTTAGTTACAATATTTTCATTCGATAATTGCACAGGTATTTCCGCAAATTCTATATAATATAATATTGAGCTTATTTCTGGCAAGAACGTTCAAATGTAATAATATCTCGTTATTTGAATTCCAATTATCCCGAATTGATCTTTATTTGGATTTTGATTTGACTTTTAACATAATAGCCGTATACCCTACATCAAAAACCAGTTTCGCAACCCCTTTAATAGGCCCTTCTGGAAGTCGTTCTTTTGACATATCCGCCCTTCCTGCCACATAATAAGCACCAGAAGAAAGCAGTCTATATGCATTGCCTAACACTGGTACTTGAGCGACAGTTTCTGCAAAATATTCCTCTCTTGTCTCAAATGTGTTGTTAATCTGAAATTCAGTACATGCATGTCTTAAGTTTAAAAGTTGTGTGTTTAAGTGATTTATGCTTCTCTTTCTTAGCTCTTCTTGTATACGGTCATCAAATTTCTTATGAAAGGGAAAGTCGACTCCAATCATTGGATAATTTCCAAAATCATTTACTAATTCATTTCTACATCTGTCAACCCATTCTTGTGAACTATCGGTAATGATGATAACAAAATTTTTTTCGCCTCCTTTAAAAATTTTTTTAAATAACGAGAACGTACTCTGTACGCCAGCTAATTTAGATCTTCCCTCTTTCACTACGTAACATATAAAGTTGAGAGGTGTACGCTTTCTTGAGAAATAATTTTTAATTGATTCGGCGACCTCCTCATGAGGATTATTACTCGAAGAAATTTCACCTACTCCGGACATATCATATACCATATATCTTTCTGAAGAAGCATGCATAATATGCCCGTCTACATTTAACCCTCTTGGAGTATCGACAACTGGGAAGGGCCCTGATATATTACCACTAAGTAACATATTGCCTATAGAAGACTTGCCATTCCCAGCGGCTCCGAAAAGAGTCACCTTTAACTGAAGTTTCATTATTATTTTTCAGAATTACAATTATTGTCGTTGGGAAATTTCTGAATTATAAATTTCGCACGCGTGACTTAATCGTACGACATTCCGATAAACCAAATTCGATTGATTCGATAATTATAGAAATTCCGTACGCGTGACTTAATCGTACGACATTCTGATAGACCAAATTATTACATGAACAGAAAAATTTGCAGTCGTGATCCATGTTCATCCTTAAGTTCTGCATTCGTTCTTGGTACATCATCGTTACAGACTAGAAGTCGATTTATTACATATCAGTGTTAGTGTATTGCATAACAAAGCTTTGTACATATCACATTATCTGCAAATAAAGTGCACAAAAAATTTTTATTTAATTGATACATCGATACATGTTTTTTCTCCGCTCAGATTGGTATAAATTTGAATCATTATATAGCATAAACTTGGTAAAAACTGCCATTAATCGTTAAATCGCTATAAAAACACAAATACGATGCATTTTAAGGAATAATATTGTAATAAAGAAGTTTTATGCAAAAAATGCAGTGGTTTCGGAATTGTTTACCGTTTAAGGGATAATAGCAGATTATTTAATTTTTCCACTTAAGTAAATAATTTATTCTTGATTCTGCTACTACATATGACCGATGTTTTTTATTGGCTTATTGATTACGTATACACGTTAGCCAATGAACGTAGATCGCTTTTTTGGTTTTGCGCATAAAATTTATTATTTGTTAACCAATCAGCAATCCTAGATTACATATACTTGTTTATAGGTTTATTATTCGGTATTTAATATTATAGCATCTATTAAGATATATATACAGTACATACTGTATATTATAGCAAATTCCGAAATAACAAAATCGCATGTTGCCTTATAATCAACAATCGTGTTAGTTCTTTAACACCTCGATCTATTGAATTCTTTAAAGGCATTATTATCTTTATCGTTTATTTGTAAAACTTAGGTTAATAAAGATTATATCTGATATAATCTTTACAGAAATCGGAATAGGAAACTTTGTCAGGAATACGTTAAACCTTTCAATGATATGCAAGTATGAGATGGCATTAGCAAACGTTAGGATAAAAAAAATTGAATTTAATCTTCCTCCACTTGTTTTGAATGTTTAAAAAAAAGGCGTGCTGGATTTTCTTTGGAGAATGAATCATCTACGATTTTATTTCACTTTATTTTTTTATTAAACAAAAAAAAAAATCATTGTGCCTGCCCAAATACCATTTCGTTGTCCCAGTTTTGGATTCTACTAGTTAAGTATAATGTGAATAGAATGTGAATAGAATATAAATGGAATATGAATAGAATAGAATATACGAGTTAAGTAAATATTAATAAAATATGAGGATCGAATGCAAAAATAAAATGTGAGAAGCAAATTAATATTTTTACTTTCAGCTGTATGACATCTCTAAAAACTTCTATTAAAAAGATAATATAAAATAATATATTTGAATAAAATAAAACTTACTTTTCAGCCATGTTTATACACTTTACTATATACTATGCTATGTGTATTAAATAATTTTAAAAATTTTAAAATCAATAAAAAAAGTATATCACGATTCCATAATAATTAATTGTATATAATGAATGCAATTTGTAAATATATACAGTGGTGTTCAAAAAAAATGACAATTTTTTAAAAAAATGATCAACAAGTGTAACTATTCCGATTTTGGCCAGAATTACACAAATT